TGCTCGTTGTTCTCGTGTTGTTCCCGGGATTTTTCGGGGCTGTGGTGCCTTGGGTTGGCGTTTGCTGCCGGTTGTCTCGCCTCCTTGGGGGGTGCGTGGTGTCCGTCTCCCGGTTCTGTCCCTTTGACCTTCCTCTGTGGGTAGTTAGCTCCGGGGAGCCAACGGGGCTCCCCCCAGAAAACCAGCGTTGAATGTAATGAAACGCCATTTTCTGGGTGAGACCCGGAGGCTCCCCGGCAACCCTCCCTCCCTCCGGTCGGCGGTTTTTCGCGTGTTTTGACATCCAGCCTCAGAACTGATGGGTGGATAGCCGGCGTGGGAGGTCTGGGGCTCCCCCTTCCCCCTCCCGGGGAGGGGGGAGCTGCGCAGACAGCGGCGCGGTGACGTATGACGTCATACTAGTTTCCTTGTTTTCTGTTGAAGAGTTCTATCCACTAATTTGGCTTTAGGTAGCAATTTTCAACAGAATAGGGGTTTGTTTTGGAATGCTTACCTTTCTGGATGCTTGACCCAGTCGATGGCAGACATAGAATTCTTCCAACCACACGGGGGTTTCTATAGGCCATTGCTCCCCTTGCCTCTCTGAGGGGGCCAGGTTCTGGCCGTGGTCCCCGGTAGGCCCTAGAACTCCATACACATGACTGATGCCAAAGTCTGACATTAGCATATCAGCCGGTAAAGCTCCGGGGAGCCTCCGGGTCTCACCCAGAAAATGGCGTTTCATTACATTCAACGCTGGTTTTTTTATATCGCACCAAGGTATGTCATTTTCAGAGTCCTCTGGCTGAACTAGAAATTCAGATCCCAATCTAAATAAAAGTTACTCTTGTACAGAAAAATCTCCTCTATCCAATGGTGTCATTCAAAACCAAATTGGGAATGACGCATATTGAGACATTTTGAGATATATTGGCAGTGATATTAGCATGGATTGGTAGCTGAATGGCTACCCAAACTACTTTTTTGATTACATTGCTGTATTCCGCACCAAAAGTTGCCCTGGTATGCCAAATTTCACACCTCTCTGGGCACTAGTCGTGATTTAACAAAGGGTCAAAGATGGTAATTTTTGTGGTATTTATGTATTAATGGGATGAGAGCCCATTCAATATGGACCTGTTATTTAAGAACCAAAGCAGATTGAGCTCTAATATTTTGCAAAGTGTCATTTGGGGTCTAGGGCTATCTTACTACAAAATTTCATGCCATTTGGAGAGGGTCATGTGGGAGCCGTAAGTGACTTTTTGGTGATTTGAGATGGAATGACCCTATATTGTGCTTGCCTAGATAAGAATAAAGCTACTTGTAGATTAGCTTTTCAAATATTTTTGACAAGGTTGATAGAATTGATATACAGTAGGTCTGTAATTGTTGACATCAGTGAGATCACCACATTTATGGACTGGGGTTACTCTCGCTTTTTTTAGAATATCCAGAAAGGTTTGGAGTTCAAGTGATTTATTGAAGAACAATGCAATGGCAGGAGCTAGAAATCTGGAGGCTTTTTTGTAAATTTGAGATGATATCTCATCAAGGGCACTTGACTTAGTTTTAAGAGAAAGGATTACCTCATTAACATTAGAGGAGTTAGCAGGAGTTAAGTACAGAGACTGGATAGTTACCTGTAAGGTAGTCTTTAACATTAGTGAGGGAAGATAGAATATCATGAGCCAGGGATGTTCCAATGGAGGAGAAGAACATATTGAATTCAATAGCAGTGTCAGAGGCTGAAAGCACACCATTGTCATTGGATAGCAGTATTGGTTTTTATTCAAAATCTTTTTTGATCCCAATATTTGGGAAATAGTGCTCCATGTTTTTTTAATGTTGCCCTTAACTTGGGTGAATTTATTTTCATAGTACAGTACTTTGTTTTGGCTCTCTTAATTATTTTTAACAGCATTGATGAGTAAATCCTTGAAAATTCTTTGGAGACAACTCCTAACCTATACTTCTTCTATGGTCAAGTTTTTTATTAATAGATTTAAGTATCCCCTTTGTAAGCCATGGATTGTTTAACCTTTTAGTTGTGACTTGTTTAATTAGCATAGGACAGTGGGTGAAGGCTGAGAGTTTTCTGAAGAAATGTTTGTACTGCTAGGTTGATGTTCCCTATGTTACCTAATTCAGTCTCTCAGTTGATATTAGGAACAGCAGCAATAAAATTACCCATAGTTCTTGTTAACTGTTCAGTTTTAAAGACTAAATGGAAAAGATCAAGGCAAATGTTGGGACCTTCGACAAGCCACCGGCTTTCTGTCCTTGTCGAGGCTACTAGTGTTAGTGGCCATCAGGTAAATCAGGTGAACACGTCCAGGAGCAGTACTCTCTACCCTGTGTCAGTGTGTCACGTGTGTGACAGCTGACATGTTGGCTGCTGCCCACACCTCTCACATCTATCACCCCCTACCGGATTAAATCTGGACCCTTTGGACTATGAATCCTGAACGCTGACCACTCAGCCATCAGGCCCCCCCTAACACTACCACTCCCACCTTGCCCCACACCTACACTACCACTCCCACCTTGCCCCCACATCTACATACCTCTCCCCCTTGCCCCACTCCTACACTACCACTCCCACTTTGCCCCACACCTACACTACCACTCCCACTTTGCCCCACACCTACACTATGACTCCCACTTTGTTCCACACCTACACTTCCACCTTGCCCCACATCTACACTACCAGTCCCACCTTGCCCCACACCTACACTTTCACTCCCACACCTACACTACCACTTCCAGCCTACCCACACCTACACTGCCACTCCCACCCTACCCACACCTACACTGCCACTCCCACTTTGCTCCACACCTACACTACCACTCCCACCTTGCCCCACACCTACACTACCGGCCTTCCAGATGGTGCTGATGACTTCGGTAACTATTAACCGGCTCTTAAACTGCTTGTTTCTCCCACCTTACCCCACACCTACACTACCTGTCCCACCTTGCCCCACACCTACACTATCTGTCCCACCTTGCCCCTCATCTACATTACCTGTCCCACCTTGCCCCACACCTACACTACCTGTCCCACCTTGCCCCACACCTACACTACCTGTCCCACCTTGCCCCACACCTACACTACCTGTCCCACCTTGCCCCACACCTACACTACCTGTCCCACCTTTCCCCACACCTACACTACCTTTCCCACCTTGCCCCACACCTACACTACCACTCCCACCTTGTCCTACACCTACACTACCTCTCCCCACCTTGTTCCACTCTTACACTACCACTCCCATCTTGCCCACACCACTTCTCCTACCTTATCCCACATCTACACTACCACTCCCACTTTACCCCCACACCTACACTACCACTCCCACTTTACCCCCACACCTACACTACCACTTGCCCCACATCTACACTACGACTCCCACTTTGTTCCACACCTACACTTCCACCTTGCCCCACACCTACACTACCTCTCCCACTTTGCCCCACACCTACAATACCTCCCACCTTGCCCCATACCTATACTATCACTTCCACCTTGCCCCACACCTACACTACCTCTCCCACTTTGCCCCACACCTACAATACCTCCCACCTTGCCCCATACCTATACTATCACTTCCATCTTGCTCCACACCTATACTACCCTTCCATCTTGCCCCACACCTACACTACCTCTCCCATCCACACCTACACTACCACTTCCACCTTGCCCCACACTTACACTACCTCTCCCACCTTGCCCACACCTACACTACCTCTCCCACCTTGCCCACACCTACATTACCTCTCCCACCTTGCCACACACTTAAAATACCTCCCACCTTGCCCCCACACCTATACTATTACTCCCACCTTGCCCCACACCAACACTACCACTCTGCCCACCTTGCCCCACTTCTATACTATCACTTCCACCTTGCCCAACACCTACACTACTTCTCCCACCTTTTCCACACCTACACTACCTCTCCCACCTTGCCCCACACCTGCACTACCTCTCCCACCTTGCCCTACACCTACACTACCACTCCCACCTTGCCCCACACCTGCACTACCTCTCCCACCTTGCCCCACACCTGCACTACCTCTCCCACCTTGCCCCATACCTCTACTACTGTAACGTACGATTATGTTACGTTGTTGGGTAGATTAGATACACAGTGTTTAGTAAGTTTCATATTTAGTAGTCTTGATTACAGTAGTTGGTTGGTGGCATTGTTGTAGACATTCAGACAGAACTTGGAGCAGAGCAGAGAGCTGAGTGAGGCCGGAGTCATAGAGCTCTTTGCGGGAGAGCGTGGTGGCTTGATGGGGAATTTTGAGTGTCTGAACTCGATGGGAGGCGAGAGCGTTGTAGCTTGATGCAGTTGTAGTCTGCTGTCTGCTCTGTGTCTAAGCTGTAATGTCTTGTCATCGATTAGAACTGTACACCCCGAGAGCTACATTCTTGAGGTTTGAAAAGATGTGGTAAGTCCTAAGCGTCTGTATTGTAGTTCACTGAATTACTGTGGAAATCGTATTGTTGGCTATTCACTTCAAGCTTGCTTATATTTGGTGACTACACCTCAGCTTCCTTCAATAAGATAGAAGGATGGAAGAACTGTTACCTGTAATTAGGGAAAGGATTATTGCTTCTATAATTAGTGCTAATGAGAGATTGGAGCGAGTATAAGGTTTACTCGCTACACTACCACTCCCACCTTGCCCCACATTGACTACAATTTGTTTTATTTTAATTTAGTAATAAAATCATCTAACATTTAAACAATAATAATTATTTATAGTGTGAGATATGAGTTTAGTAAATAAGATGACTACAGTATTGGTGTGTTTTCGTGCAGCATTTGTCACCGTACATTTGGTAGTTGGGCGCCTCCGATCCCACGATCATTGTTGCCCCTAAATCAACAACAACAACATTTGGTAGTAAGCTTTTCTTGCCAGATAAATGGATGTAATTCATTTCATTTCTTTTCTTGCCAGATAAATGGATAAATGGATTTAATTCAAGTCAGTGTCTTTTTCAGCACAAGATTGTCACTGGAGCATCTTCAGGAATCAAAACCTTGCTCCAAGCAACACGATGTTTCAGGATATAACTCATCAAATGCTTAGGTCAGTTTTTCAAATTCAAATTATTATTCAAGAGTTGGTGTACATTGAACATAAGAGTAATGTACAATTCTGGGGACAGGAGTTACACAAACTAATGACGTCACTATTACACAAAGAGTTTTGGGCAAAACTTAAAATAAATTGTAAACAAAATTTAAATGTGAGAAGGGGTAAACTCTTAATATTAAAAGAGAAGTGAGCTAACAACATTTTAGACATTTAAGAAAATATTAAAAGAATACAATACAAAGTTGATACTTAAAGCACTACAAATGTTAAAATGGTTTTTCCAGAACTCTTTGAGGGTGAGGTTTGTGGCATCAGTCACTTCGAAACATTTCCGGAAAAGTGCCCTTTCCTAAAGTTTATTGAAATTGGATATGATTTTTTGTCCATAGGCTGAATTAGAGGAGTGGTGTTACGAGGAAGGAACTTTATTGTAACAAAATTAAATTTGTCCAACAATGCATCTTCCAAGCCCGGAGGATGAGCAGGAGCATTGTCGAGGAGAAGCACATCCTTGAGTGGCAAACTTTTCTCCTGCTGATTTTTTTGTATGGAAGGGCAAACCACTTCATTAATTAACCAACTCCATAAAAAATAACCTTGTCACCCATGCCTTACTATTAGCCCTCCACATCACACTCATTTGGCTTTTCAGGGGGGAGCCCCGTCGGCTCCCCGGAGCTATCCCAGGCTGATATGCTAATGTCAGACTTTGGCATCAGTCATGTGTATGGAGTTCTTAGGCCTACCGGGGACCACGGCCAGAACCGGGCCCCCTCAGAGAGGCAAGGGGAGCAATGGCCTATAGAAGCCCCCGTGTGGTTGGAAGCATTCTATGTCTACCATCGACTGGAACAGGCACCCAGAAAGGTAAGCGCCTCAAAACAAACCCCTATTCTGGTTAAAATTGCTACCAAAAGTCGAACTAGTGGATAAAACTCCCCAACCGAAAACAAGCAAACTAGTGTGACGTCACACACCGCCGCGCCGCTGTCTGCGCAGCTCCCCCCTCCCCGGGAGGGGGAAGGGGGAGCCCCAGACCCTCCACGCCGGCTACCCACACCTCAGTCCTTGAGGCTGATGCTATAGGCGATGGTCATGTGCTCTGGCTCCGGTGTCGCTACTGTACTGTGCTTTGCGTGTGGTGTTGGTTTTGTGGGTGCGAGAGCCAGGAGTTATCTTCAGTACTCGGGCTGCATGTGCCTAGGGCTGCCTTCCCTAGGTGCCCTGTAAGTACTGCCCTTGGGGCCACCTTCCACAGGCTCCTTGGGGTCTGCCTCTGCTGGTCTGTTTTACCTTTCGGTTTTTCTGGTCGCCTGTTGGGCTCTTGGGTGTTCTGTTCTCCCTTGTTACCGGCAGGTAAGAGGCAGTTTGCACTGGTAGGGGCGCAGGGTGCTGCTCAGCTTGTATTCCCGACATCGCGGCCGGCTCTGTTCCTTGGGGTTTGCTGTCCTCTTGCGGGGTTTTGTTTTTCTTTTTGTTTTTGCCTGGTGGGGGGTTCTGTCATTTTATTCAGTTTGTTTTTGCCCTTCCACTGTTCTCCTCGGTGGCGCCCCCTGCTAGGTCCCTGTGAGTGTACACGTCCCTGGGGTTCAGCTATAGAAGTTTGCTTGGTAGTTTTGGGCGCCAGTTTGCAGCACCCTGCCTGGGACTACCTGAGTGCGAGTCCTCTTAAAGTAAACGCTCAGGACCCTGGGAATCCCCTAGGGGGCGCGTGGGTCCGATGGATGTGACCCCGGAGTCCCCACTCGCTGTGTGCGAGTTTGAGGGTTGCTCGGTCCCCTTGTCTCAGGGTGACCCTCATTGTTTTTGCCTCTGCCACGCTGCCTGTTGGGTCGGTGATACTTTCGACCCTGAGTCCTGTGAGTGTTGCTGCTTGCTTGTGACTCAATTTACCCAATCCTCTGATGATTCTATTCGGGTACTGGCGGCGCGTGCGTTGCAGTCTAGGTTTCGTCTGTTGCAATGCACTCGGTTGGTTGCTCACCCAGATGCCCCGGGGCTGCCCCGCTTTGCTTTTTGAGACCTGGACTTGGGGGTGGGGGTCGCTTCGATCCTGGTTCAGTCCACATCTCTTCGTCCTTCCCCTTCTGTTCGTTCTGGTCCCCCCCCCTGCTTCCGGCCCCAAAGCGTCTGAGGGTTTCAGGGTCGGAGCAGGGGTTACTTGATCTCGAGACTCGGGCAGCTTCGGGGGGTGCCCCTTCCGGGGAGGCGGCAGAGGCATTCGAGTCTTGTCTCCCGGCCAAAGCTTCTGGGTCTGACCAGTGGGTCCCCCTTCCTCCAGCTTTTCCGGCTGCTCCGTCCTTGTCTTGTGGGGTCGGGGCTTGGGGAAAGGACTCGGCCTCGGGTCCTGTGGTGAAGGACCTCAAGGCTGGGGAGGGGCTGACTTGGGGGCCTTGGGCCCCGCTGGACCCCGCCTGGGTGTTTCTTCCCTCTGAGCAGGGCTTATTGTTACAAGGAGTGGGGTTTTCTTTTCCCCCTCTGCGTACGAGTTGGATTTGGTGTCGGCCCCTCCCCGGGTTCGGTTCCGTGTTCCCCCGGGTATGTCGGTTCCGTGTTCCCCCGGGTATGTCGGTTCTGTGTTCCCCCGGGTACGTCGGTTCCGTCCTTCCGGAGGTTTTCGGCTTATCGCATCCAACCTGGTGTGGTGCGAGCGGCCCTTGCAGCTTACCTCCTGCGTGACCCGGATTATGCCTCGGAAATGGATCCGTCCGAATTAAGGTTTGGGACTTCGTTCCCTTTCTGGCTCCGTTACGAGGTTCCGGAGTCTTCCTGGCTAGCAGACTGCCCCTTGTTTGTTATGGATTCCTGGCATTCCTTCTGTCGTTCCCGCACGCTGGAGTGGCAGGAAGCTTCCACTGTGCTTCAGGTTTAACTGGGGGGCGAGCTTGAGTACCTGAATGAGTGCTTGTTTGCCCCTGCCCTTCCCCGCGATGTGAGCGCTATTCAGCTCCATGTGCAGGTTCCCACCCTTTCGGTGGCACTCGTTGCGGAGGACTTGCGCGCCTGGGGCCTTTTCGCTTCGGCCTTGCGGTTCTTTTCCCTCCTGGAGCTGTCTTTGGATTGGCTCGTGGAGGATGTGAGGACGCTTGGGTCCATCCCGAGGTCCGGCACCTTGTCCTCGGCTGTTCACGCCTATTTTGCGAGATGCGGTTTTCCTGTTTTATGCTTCCCGTCTCGCATGTCGGCAGACGGTGCTGGGTTCCTCCATGGAATCTGCTTGAGCTCTGGCTCTTAGGCGTTCTTCACCTTTTTGTCCTCTTCTGTTTGAGGAGTCAGCCATGGCGCAGTTTATTCAGGCTGCGTCTGCGGCTTATCGTCCGATGTCGGACTTGTTGGTTTTCCGGGTGTCCCGGGGTGGGTCTTCCCGGAAAGGTCGTGCCAGGGCTCGGGGTTCCTCTGGTCGTGGTAGGCCTCTGGTGTCAGGTTCGAGTTTGGCTCCTCCTGCGGACCCTCCCTCGTCTGGTCGGTGCGGTGTTCGTGCTGTGCGGGGCTCTGGGTCTCCTAAGGGTCGTCGGCACTTTCGCGGTTTGCCCCATTGATGGGGCGATGGGGGGGCGGCTTGCACTGTTCGCCCGCGCCTGGTCCCACGATTCGTGGGCCTTTCGGGTCGTGTCTCGCGGCCTGCGGTGGCGTTGGGTGGCCCCTCCCCCCTTTGGGGGGTCGGGGCTGGCAGGGCAGGTTTCTTCCCCTGCGCTCTGTCGAGTTGTCCTTGAGTGGGTATGCTTGGGCGTCGTCGAAACGACGTCGTCCCTCAGATGGGTTTCCCATCTGTTTCCGGTTCCGAAACAGGACTGCGCGGACCTGCGATTCATTCTGGACTTGTCCTCTCTGAACCCCTGGGTTCATTGCCCCTCCTTTCGGATGACTACGCTGTCTCAGGTTCGGCTCCTCTTGGAGCCGGGTGCTTGGATGGTGTCCCTGGACCTCTGGGACGCTTATTGGCATGTCCTGATTCATCCACGGTTCAGGGACTGGTTCGGTTTTGTTGTGGGCCGTCTTGAGTTACCGCTTTCGTTGTCTCCCATTCGGGTTGAACCTGGCACCTCGCGTGTTCACGCGCCTCACACAGGTTGTGGTGGCCCGTTTGCGTCTCCTAGGTGTTCGGGTGTTGGCCTACCTCGACGACTAGCTGGTTTGGGCTCCCAGCCAGTCAGCTTGCTTGCTAGCCAGGGATTTGGTTCTTTCCCAGCTCGCCGAGTTCGGGTTCTTGGTGAACTGGAGGAAGTCCCATCTGGTTCCCTCTCAGGTTCGGACTTTTCTGGGTCTCGTTTGGGACTCGGACCGCCTCCTTGTCTCTCCCTCCGGAGTCTCTCCTGCGGCTGCGGTCCCGCCTTCGTCTGTTTCTGGAGGGCCCTCGGGTCACTCGGCGGTTGCTCGAGGGGCTGTGTGGGAGCCTGAACTTCAAGAAGGTGGTCTACCCGCCGGGTCGGGTTTGGCTTCGACGGCTGTTCTGGTTCCTTCGGGGTTCCCCCTTCCGCCTCTCTCGCGATCGCAGAGTTCGACCCCCGGGGGCCTTGCGTCGGTTGCTGCATCACTGGCTTCCTCTTCGGGTTTTTCGGAGTTCAGTGCCTTGGCGCCTACCCGAGCCCTCGCTCGATGTGTACACGGATGCGTCGTCTCTTGGCTGGGGTTTTGTGACCAGTGCTCACCAGGCTGGCCAGGGGCGTTGGGATCCGTCCTTCCATCGAGCTCACAGCACAGTGCGGGAGTTCGCAGCAGTGTGGTTTGCTCTGGGGAGGATTCGGGTGGCCCACGGATCGACGATTCGGCTCCATTCGGACTACTCTCCGGTGGTTCATTGCCTGAACCGCGGGGGTTCGATGCGGTCCTTGTCTCTTTGGGGTTGTTCGCTTCGGGTGACTCGTCTGCTGAGTTCTCGGGGTTTGGCTCTCCTGGCAGTTCACGTACAGGGAGTGTCCAATGTCTTGGCCGATGCCCTGTCTCGCTTCGTTCCCCTCTCCATGGAGTGGACGGTCGACGACGAGTCCTTC